AAAAAGAGTTGCTTTAGTTCATGTTCTTTTAGCGATGGTGCAACTTGTGGTACTAGTGTTAGGTTAGTCAAGTTGGTTTTAGAGGGGGAATAGTGATTTGTATCACCCGGTCTCTCATAATCGTTTGATTACCCGTATGTACATTTTCGAGTTTAATATAATTTGTTGGTTTGCAAAAAAGTAAAAATAAAAGAAAAACCAAAAAAAGAAAATAACAAACGAAACACAATATGAACTCCAAGGACCCAACTGGCAAACATGACTAACAAATCCACGTACGAAAGAAATACAACACGAAAAGAGACCCAAATCAAAGCATATCCAACAAATTCAACGAAAACTCGACAACAACACAGACAGATACGGGACCAAATCAAGAAACAGCTCCAACTAACAAACCATCAAGCCCCTAAAAAACTCAAAAAATCAAAACAACANAAAAAAAAAAAAAAAAGAATCCAATCAGTTGGTCCCACCCAACACCCCCTTCAGCTTCTTGATCTGCGCCACATCCAAAAACGTCGTCTTCGCCACGAGCTCCGTCGGGAAATCATTCTTGAACAGCGCAAAGTCCGTGATCTGCAGTCCGGGGTTCTGCGTCCCAAACGAAACAAACCCAAGTGCCGGGCCCTTCCCAGAATTAATCTGAAAATGCAGCAGCCCTTGCGGAAAGACCATAACGTCCCCCTTGTTGAGCGTCTGCAGGTACACCTTATTATCAAAGGACGAGACGAGGCCCGCGCATATCGTCCCTTGGATCACCACGAGGATCTCCGACCCTGCCGGGTGGGTGTGGAGTGGGATGACCCCTCCAACCCCCAAATCGAGCCGCGCAATCGAGACGCCAAGCCCGTTTACGCCCGGGAACTGCCCGTCGAAGCCCGGGGTCACGGCAGCCGCTATGATGTTGCTGGTGTTGCCGGCGGCCGCAAGGCCGTGGAAGGAAAAGTCGGTGGCTGTGACGGAGGCCGATTTCTTGCAAGGGTAGCCGGCAGGGGTCGGGGGAAGGGAGAGGTCTGCAATGCAGAAATCCTGCACGAGCGCGGAGGTGGTGGCGGCTGCTGCAAGGAGAGAGAAGAGGAATAGGTAATTGATATACATTTTTTTTTTGATGATGATGATGGTGATGATGATGACGATGGTGATGATGATGATGATGATGATAGGGTTTTGGGGAAGGGTGAGGGGTTTATATAGTAGTTTGGGAGGGGATTTCTTTTTTATTGTGTATGGGGTTGGGGAAGAGTAATTTATGGGAATAACTTTAATTTTGGTCAGTTTACTTGTTTAAAGTCTATTTTTGGTACACTGATTTACTCCTTATCAAGAATAGTAAGTTATGTTGTAATTCGTATCATTTTTAAGTCATTAGTTCCAAAAAATAATGAACCATTTTCGGGATAATGTTCCAATAGTGATACAAATGGCAACATAACGTATTATTATTGATGAGGGAAAAATATAGTGTATCGAAAAAAGGACTTTAGACAAGTAAACGGACCAAAATTGAATTTTTGCCAGAAATTATGCATGGAGGAGGAAAAAGACAGGGATCGAGCTGGCTGTAGCGTGCATGTGAACTTCTTGTATCGTTATGTGCACATGAGAACAATATGCCTCTTTTACAATCACAAAAGGGGGTGAGGTGAAAAGACAGTTTGAGTTGTGGTAAGAAATTGTGATAACATGAACTCCATTTTTAAGTGACTGTGAGTTGTTGGTGCAGATATTTCCCTCCCAAATATCTACTCTTAGATCGTCATACGCATGTGTTACTCGAGACAATAGGCAAAAGAACTCTTGATAAATATTTATTGAATTTAACCACGGTTAAGGTACAACCGTGTGGTTAAATTTGCAATAGCTGCCCAAGAGTATTTCTTTGATTAAAGTAACTTATATTAATATGTTTGCCGGTGTTAATGTCACAAAGATTGCATAAGCCAAGGTGACGTCACTTGTTACTTTAGCACAACATGGTCTATAAATGAGAGGTGTTGGACATCAAATCTCAATCCTATGAAATAACAATCAAAATTTGACGTGTTGAGAACCTCCAGGTTGCTAGCTTTTCTATCCTACAATCCTTTCGTTACTTTTCATGACAAAGAAAGAAAGAAACTATTAGGCTTCAAAAGAAACACAATTATTATCTTTTTACTTTTACATATATATCTGGATATTTTTGGTGTGAATAGTTTATATTTAGAGATAATCCAATCATATATGGCAAAAGGCCTAGAAGATATTTGAACAAAAATCCAATCTCAGCATGTGTGTGGTCCATGAGAGTTAATTAGTTGTTATGGGTGCAACCATATGATGACAATATTATACTTCTGCAGGTCAGCTGCTAATTGTCAGTTAGTATGGTTAGTCCTCAACGCAGAAATGTGTGGAGCTAAATAGGTTCCCTATCTTCTAAGGCATATGGGATGAAAATTCTCATCACACTCCATACATAGTTAAAACACTGTAGCGTATTTGTTGTGGTTTTAAAGAAAACCTAAGGCCTATATTTACAGGTTATCACTTCCTTTCAAAGTAAAAAACCCATTTAAAGAAGGAAATGGATCCTGTAAACCTAGGAAGAGATATGACGGAGTTATCTTCTTAAGATAAACTTCTTTATTTTAGTTAGGAGAAATGTTACGGTTCCATTATGGAACCATCCCATCGGGAGTTTTAACCGTTGGATACACATGTAGTTAGCATAAGATAGATGATCTAACGGTTAAAACACCCGACAGGATGATTCCGTAACAGGACCATAGTATTTCCCATTAATTATTGTTTAATAAATAGATTATATTAATACTTGGTGAATGAAGAAATACATATTGACCATAAAGACTAATTTATCCTTGGCATTTTGTACACCTTGCATGCATAGGTCCACATTAAAAATATTTTCCATTTTTCTCTTTTGCTTGGTGACTAGGATTAGGGCTTTCTTTGCAGCATATATATATTGTATATTTGAGTTCCAAATATGATATGAAAAACTAATTCCTCACACTCTCTGATGTAGCATAGCATCGCTGATATTGTGTTAAAAGAAGTAACTCGGCAAGTTGGCTGACCCGACCGATTCAAACTAGACGCCAAAGCTCAGGTGAGCTCGGCGTATTATGAATAAACGCGACTAATGCAGGAGCCTAGCTGGCTAGCCGAGCTAGTTGGTCGACTGTGGGAGGCCGAGCTTGTAAGCTAGGCAGGTGGCCGAGCTGATGAACGAAGCAGACCTTAGGCGAACACACCTGAGTGCTAGGAATCAGCTCGGTGGTACAAAGGAAGAGCTCAGCTTGACAGATAAAGGTGGATAATGTTACAACAAAGTCCGTTGCGCGTATCGCGGAGATCCTCCCAGATTATAGGGAGTTGGGGTCAAACAGGACTCTACGATCGTTTACTAAGATTTGCATGGCCAAGAGGCAGATGGAAGAAGGACTCTTATCATCACAGGAGTCTTTAGCGCGTCCGCATTCGGAAATAAAGGGAGCAGGTTCCTTTCTTTTAACACACACCACACAATATATACCAATATGCTTTGTCTTCTATATCTGCTACTTCTCCCGAATTCTTCACTGACTTGGGCGTCGGAGTGTTTGCGCCGGGACCACCCCCGGCGTACTTGCAGGTTACCGGCGATTCAAGGAGGGCAAATCGATTCACAGAAGTGGTCCAGTGGTTCGAGACAATTTGACGTATCAAATTGGCGCCGTCTGTGGGAAGATTCAGTTTCTACAACTTGAGATAAGAGGCTGATTTTTCTCACCAACATTCACCATGACTGATGACAACCTAATGAAGAATCTGATAAAAGACCTGGACGAAGCATGGACGCGGAGGGCGTTTGGAGATGGACCCCCGCCTGAGTGGTCAAAGATGATTGTTACGCCCAAAGAAACCTTACCGGCAGTTGGTATCACCTCGACATCGGCAAAAGATACTCAAGGGCAGTCAGTGACCCCAGGAGGGAAGGAAGGTCAGACAGGGATTGAAGGTGAGCTCGGCAGTCCCACTACATGGATAGTCAATCAGGTCGTTGGCGGATCTGGAAGTGGGGGTGGACCGACGGGTTCATTGGATAATAGGCAACAGGTCGCGGCAAGAGTAAACAATCCTCCAGAAAACAACCCCCCGGTGGCAGGAGGGGACCAAATGTTGCATATGACCAGAGCGGAGTTGGATAGGATTATTGCCGATGCAATCGGACGAGCTCAGGTTGTCGATAGAAGGGCTCCCAATGAACCAATCAGGCAGTCCGTACAGCAGCAGCAGTTACTGCCGTCGAACCAGGCTCAGCGTCGCGAGAGGGGTGACGAAGATGAGGATAGGTCGGCAACCTCTCGGCCTGTCGCAGCGGCGCAACAGGAAGGAGTAACTTTGGAGAGGTTGGCTTCTCAGATGCAAGAATTACAGGCACGGATGCAGGAGAGAAGGCCCATAGTATCTTGTGGGCATCCTTTTACAGAAGAAGTACTGAGAGGTAACCTGCCGAATAATTTCAGAGAATTAAGCTTATCCTATGACGGATCTGCAGTCCCCGCAAGGCACTTGAGGTCGTTTGACAACATGGCGGAGTTGCATAGGTACAGCGATGCAGTGAGTTGTAGGGCTTTCCTGACGACCTTAAAAGGGTCGGCGCAGAATTGGTTTCATCAATTGCCGCATGGATCCATCGACAGCTTTAAAAAATTCAGCTCTCTCTTTTTGAACCAGTTCGCTGGTGTCAGGAAGCATGAGAAAACGTATTTGTCGTTGATTAGCATGCAACAAAAGGAGGGTGAATCTTTGCGACAGTACGTGTCGCGTTATACAAAAGAATGTGTGGAAGTCCCTACTGCAACAGAGGAAATCAAAGCTGGAGGGCTCACTAGGGGTTTACGGCCAGAGAAGTGTCGAGTTTCATTGGCTAAACGCCCGGCTAGATCATTTGACGAGCTTTTGGAAAGATGCAGCAAGTCTGTTAATATGGAGGAGGCGGAAGCAGATTTTATACAGAATGATAAGGTAAAAGTGAAGCCGGCGGATGACAGGACCCTTCAAAATGAACGACGAGCTCCCCAGAAGGAGGTCAGGGCAGAAGATCGATATAAGGGGCCCAGGTATGAACACTACAAACCATTGAAGGCTCCCCAGCAGGAAATCCTTGAAGTGATGGGGCAACGAGGAGAGACTAAGTTGTTAGCACCGCCCAAGCCCTTGCCTCCATCGCGAAAATTCTCGGCAGGAAAGGATAGGTATTACCGATACCACCGCGATTACGGTCATTCTACCAATTTCTGTCGTGAGCTGAAAGACGAGATTGAGCGGCTTATCAGAGCCGGGCACCTAAAAGAGTTCGTGATAAGGGACAAGGAACGTCGTGACGAGCGTCCAGAGGGGCGTGAGCTGGGTGACAAATACCGGAGAATGGAAGAACAGCCAGATAGACCAGTGAAGAAAGGGGTGATTCATATGATAGCAGGAGGTCCTACGGATGGTGGCTCACACAGGGAGAGGAAAAGAACATATCGAGGAAAGAGCATGGTGGACGAGGTGGCTGAGGTCAAGGTACAAGCAAGTTCGGTTACCTTGAACTTTAGCGCGCATGATGTGCAGGGGGTCGTGGTTCCCTATAATGATGCCTTGGTTATTACGGCTGAGGTGGCTAGTTACGATGTGCAGAGGGTTCTGATAGATACTGGGAGTTCAGTGGATATCATTTTCTGGAAATGTTTGCAGCAGATGGAGTTGGAGTTAAAAATGGAACCGATGCACACTGCCCAATACGGTTTTAATGGCAGTGAGGTCCGATCCATGGGGGAGGTGAACCTAACAGTCGTCGATGCCAGCTCGGCGTACAATATCATTCTGGGACGCCCCAGCCTGAACGCGTTCCAAGCTGCCATCTCAACGTGGTGTATAAAAATTAAGTTTCCTGTGGGAGACGAAGTCGGAGAGGTGATGGGAGATCAGTTGCAGTCGCTCCGTTGTTATGAAGTAACATTGAAGACTATGGAGACGTTGAATAAGAAGAGGAAGACGGAGGATCCCCCTGAATCATCGCATCAAGGTAGACGACGGGAGTTGAGCTTAGATTCCCAGGATGAGCT